ATATGTTGTCACTTTGACCATCTGCCACTGAATGTGATGGAGAAAAGGAGGGACTTGAATGTGAAGTCCTTTTATCCATTCTGTGAATCTGCTTATATGTCACGTTAATGACTCTCGATCTTAGCCTGGGCCACCATTCACTTGAGAGATCTTGAGGTGACCAGTCATTGGGGGAATTGCACACAGGAGGTGAGATTTGAGAAGCAGTGCAGAGGTCAGAGAGGATGCTTAGGCGTAGGAGATGATTTAGGAGAAAGAAAAGTGCTATGACAACTTACAAAAAGGGGAAGGAAAGGATTTCTGGTGAGATTTATCTCCAGCCATTATTAACAGGTGCATGGAAAGGGTGTGAAGTGTTTTCTCTTTCAAGCTCAGCTGATTCCTGTAGCCTACCAGTGCTTGCAGCTGGCAGTGGTGAAGAGGCAGGCAAATTTTTTCTGCTTTTCAGACTTCCAAGTCAGTATTTCAAAAACACCATTGCTTGTGTAGAGTACCTAAATTTTTCAGAAAGTGCCTTGAATTGGTGCTCAGGCAGACTGCTCTGAGGCCAGCCCAAGCAAAGAAAGCTGTGTACACAGTGCTAGGTAAGTGATGTTGATAGGTACATTCTGATTGATGGGCGAGTTTGTCTCCCAAACTGTCACAGGGTTTATAGAGGTGCCACTCAATACCAGTGCTGGAATTGCTTGTCAGAGCACCTGGCTACAAGAGCAATGGGGATTGGAGACAGAGCTGTAACTTTGTTTTTTCTCTGCTTAATGGCCCCAGCGTCTGACCTGCCTGCTCACTCCTGTTTGTCTGGACCTTAAGGAGGCAGCTGGGATTAAGACTGTCAGAGAATCGTGCTGCTTTAGCATCAGAAGGCTAATTGTATCAGGGCTGGCAGCCTATGACAAGTGGTTGCCTCCTGCCAAATGCACAGCAAGAGCAAAAAGTTCTTCAGCAAGGAACAGCAACGTTACAGGAGGGGCTGCATTGGGTTTGTTCTTTTTGCATCTGAAAGCAGCATTTTCAAATTCACATGTGGAATTACCTTCCTCAGGCCTTGGGTGACTCCAGAGAGTCACAGCTGCTTCTGTGAATAACAGATCGTGTCTCTTATGAATTCCTAGGTCAGACTCGCAACTTAACATTCAGTTGCCGGATTTCACTTCATTAACACGTGGGGATAAAGTTCTGTTCCCGAGCGTTGACCTCTGGATAGCAGCGCTGGCTTTAGAGGTCCGCTCTAGGCAGTGTTGCTGATGGCTGTGAATTACTGCGTGACCTTCAGAAGCTGAGCCTTGCTGGAGGAACCCTTCTCTGTTCCCAGTGCACACTATTGAATTGCAAATCACCCAAGTGTAGTGGTAGGGGGTGTTCTGGAAGCTCCTGTTCTCCTTTAATAGGTCCAAAACAATGCTGTTGCAAAGGCCATTTTATTCCGCTCTGCCCTCTGCACTCTGTTTCATGTTTTCCTTGCTCCTGGATGGCAGTGTACACCACCAGCAGGAGCTGGAAGTTGTGAGCCCTCTTTACATTTGAGCTGAGTTAGTGAGAAGCAGGTGTGATCATTTTGGGCCTTCCTTGCATTTAGTGGCCCTCTTAATCCATTTATAACAGCACTTGTCCAGAAATCTGGTTTGAATGAGCCTGAGATGAATGAATAATGTCAGGCAGTTCAGACGTCAAATATTTGAACAGCTGCGTGGGTGTTTTCACTGGCTTTGTGCATGGAAGCAACCTCAGGAAGTTAGACAAGGAGGGTCAGGTTGAAATTGTGGCACCAAACGCCATCCCACTGGAACTGGCCTCAAAATCCATCCCTGCTGCAGAAAAAAGGGCGTTAGGATGCTGATGTCAGGCCGTTCATTCCACAGGTGATGCTGGGCCAAGCTTTGCATCCTGTTCTTTGGTGTTCTCTTGTGTGCAGGGGCAGTATTGGGTTTTATGAATCTTGATTCGCATCAGAAACATATTTGTGGGTTTTGTTTTTCTTTTTTTCAAAAGCAGCTTCTGAAGTCCTAAAGCTGATAGCACAGCTTATATTCAGAGTATTTTCTGGATTCACAGAGGTTACTTTGGTTAGCATACAGTTTCTGAATCGGGGAGGTTTTTTCCATATTGCAGTGGACTGCACTTGGTCATGTCAAAAAAAATATAAAATCCAAATTTATTGAAAAACTGAGAGTTGGATCATCTCACTGTGCCTTCCTTTAGTCGTCAGTCTGGGAGTCCTTGTTTGATCAGAAAAGAAAATTTACCTTTCTCATACCCCTCAACCTGTGAACTTCTCTACTTCTGCTGTGCCCTCCTCTCTGACTAAAAGGCTATATCAGATCATCCCAGTGAGTATCTGCCATTGCAACACATACTGTCCAAACCCTTCCCCTTGTACCCCTCCCTATGTAGGGAGCATAGTACTCTGTTGGCAATGCAGTGGTTCCTATTATAGACATGGATTCAGCAAAAGCTCTGGAGTATTTTCCTTTCAGACTTAAAAGGGATTTTCTTAAGTACAAAGGTTTTCAGAGCAAGGACACCAGGATTCTGAAGTCAAGGTGCCTTAATATTTGTAACCTGTATCACAGTAAGCAGATCTTCTTGTCTTAAGCTCTAGCCATAAACCACTAGTTGGCTTGAGTCACTTGGAAACAAAATTGATGGAAAGGTGCACGTTTGCTGTGTGCTTGGCATCCTTGCAGAGAGAGGGACACAGGGAGTGGTCCCACTTACATTCACTCTTTTGGACACCTTCCCCCACCAACCAAGGCACTTGCTCCAAGTATTCATTGTCTGGCTAACGTTCAGATCACCTCCTGGGACTGGCCAAGTCACAGCTCCAGCTTTACATGATTTGTGTTTCCCACAGCTACAAGAAAAATGAAGACCTGTGTGTCCAAAGTTTATGGCCTTTGAGAAGTGATGGGCTAAAGTAATGCCAGGTGCAGGGGATGGTGTTACTGCAGGTTAAATGCCATGCCTATAAATTACCACCCCATCGCCCACTCTTGACTTTTAAAGCAGCTTTGAAAGACTATCCAGCTTCTTTGACAGGTCTCTCTTGCTCCTCTAAATCTTCTCCCAAACATTGTGATGAACTGAATGAGTCAGGATTTACTAGATGAGCCATTGGAGCAAGAGGAGGCAGCTCGTGACACGTGTTGGCTGGCAGCATAAAGCCAGTATGAAACACTCTACCAGGGGTCTGCTGGAAGAGGGTTGCCCCAGTGACACCACAGGGCTGACCTGTGAGGATGGCTCCTGCATTGTTGGTGCTGCTTGTGTTACCTCTGCTAAAAATTAAGTCTGGCAATTACTTGGAAGTAAAAGGTAGTTTATGCTTCTAGGGAAAGGTTAGTCTTAAAATCGCTGTCGTGCTACAGCTATCACTCGTTAAGGACCTTCTTGATATTCAGGGAAGAGAAATATCAAATCCATATAAACAAATTTTATTGGGGGCTTAATGAATCAGCGAGAGCATCCATTCCTAGAGAGCCACAGTGAAGAACTGTGTCTGCATGATGTCCTTGGAAATGAGACCTTTGCTTTACCCTGCTCTCTGCACAGATGCAGATGCAGACTGTTAGAAATACAGTTCACTCTTCTGGGCTTGTGTAAGTGTGCTGGTGAGAGCCCAGTGGGATGAACAGGCTCAGACATTGGTAGCACTAAAATGACTGCCCTAATGCTTTGGAGTGTCCTCATTCTTCAGACATGTATATAATATTCAGTACTCCTACAATAATTTTTGCCTGTATTCTGCATTTAAAACCACATTAACAGTGCAGGAACGTACCCGTTTTGGGGCATTTGTGCAAGGCCAAGGTGACATCTGCCTTACTCTTTCAGTGTTTGCAGTTGGGACGTGCTCCCTGGTCTACCACAAACTTGGGTCACCAGCCATCTGGATGCTCCTTCAGGCCCCAGCAGGCACCTCTGTCTGAGCCAGGTGTAAGTGAAGGAGTACTGAAGGCAGGTGAAGTGAGCACATTTCTATCTGCAAAGCTTATGTTCCCAAACAGCTTAGATCTGCTGCAGAATTGAACACAGAAGAGGATCTTCCAGCACTCTGGGGTTCAGGAGACCTTTGCTTAATGTCCAGTCTCGTGGGAGAAAGCATATTCAATGTTAGCTCACATAAAGAGTAAATATATGTCTTCTACAGTTTCCCTTCTGTTAATAAACCTTAGACAGCAAATAACATGTGAAGATTAATCTTTGTAGGTGTTTAGGCAGATTCAATTAAAAGAAACCTGGGTACAGTTTGCAGTAACAGTCAACAAAATGCTTGGTAACCAAAATAAATGTATAAAGTGTTAGAAAGTGGCAATTGTTGCACAGTCAGTCTCAGGTGGAACTGTAAAGGCTTGCTTCCTGCTGGAGGTGGGACTGGTTGTGTGCCTGACCCACCTGTGCTGGAACTCTTGATGAGTTGCATTGGAATTTGCTCATATAAGAAGTGCTTGTAAGGAGCTGCTAATGACTGTGAAGTGTGATTTTTTTTTTTTTCCCCTTCCCCCTTCTTCTAGAAACAGGTTTGCTGTTCTTAAGTGTTTTAAGTTGTAAAAAATCTAAGCCATGACTAAATGCATTTTAAAAAGAAAAAGATATTTCTAATTGTATTTTAGCCTTTCCCTGCCCTCTGCATCTGAATTAAGGACTAATTCAGAATGTCCCTGTGGCCTTCTCTTACCTGCTAATAGTGTCGATTTTGTGTTAACTGTTTCTGTGAAAAATTAGTCTTTCCTATTTTGCTTCATTGTTTTTTCTGCCTTTGAGAGAGACCCTTACATTTTAAAATCACTCATATAGAGCTAAAGGGGGGCATTTGGAACATAAAATCTAGGAAGTTAGAGCAGTTCTGTGAGTGTTCTTGTGCAGTCTTTGGAGGTGATACCTTTTATGAAGCTGTTAAGAGTAAAGGACATCATGCAGACTGGTGCTGCAGCACCATTCTTAGGAGATCTACACTTCATCTCCAATTTAAATGCTCATCCATGTGTTTTATTTTCCTTCAGGTTCTGGGTTTATCATGTGCAGTGGCAAGGAGAATCCAGACAGCGACGCTGACCTGGATGTGGATGGAGACGACACACTCGAATACGGGAAACCACAGTATCGTTTTTGAAAGGCTCTTGCTGAGAGGGAACCCAGAGGTGCATCTACAGCTACCTTTCATACAGCACTGCCCTGGGAAGTGGTGGATAATCTGCGTCCAGCCCTGCTGGAAATGACACAGCCTTCTCCAGTTACCATGTTATTTGCACTAGCAGGGATTCCCAGTTACTCCCTCTGAGATCTTTCTGTTGATGCCACACTACTTCAGACCTGAAGTCTGGAGGAGACATTGCAGGGGATCAGTTAATGTTTCTTTATTCTGTTCATAAGCAATCTGTTGTCTCCATCCAGGTTTCTTCCATATAGATAGCTTTTCCTGCTCTTTGGGTAGGAATTAAGTTTATTTTCCAGAAGACCCCCCTTTGTTTTCAAGGGTTTTGTTCAGTAAGCACTTTTCACCTTCCCCTCTGACAGACTGATTTTTTTTTTCCTTTCATTGAACAGTTTATGGGCAGATGTGTCATTAAGGGAACTTCTATAATTTGGGAGATCATTACTCTTATCAACTGTCATTTGGGGATTTCTCTATCTGGGAACCAGGCTCTCTGGACACAGCTCTGGGAAAACTGTGGGCAGACTTCTGCCCTGCAGCAGCTGTAACAACCATCAAGGAGGAATTCCTGCAAGAGTATTGGCAGACACTGCTCTAACTGTAATTTTTTTTTCAATAAAACCTATGGAATTAGTTTTTATTGAAATCTGTACCAACCTTTAAGATTGAAGCCCCAGCCCTTAGCTGGTAAAAGATCTCTATACCTCAAACAGAAATAGTGGAATTGTTCAGGTTAGGCTTGCAGGGGTTGAGGAATTGATTTTCCCCTTCTAAGAGGTAGTGGCATTATGTTACTCTCAAAAGACTTTGCCGTTTCCTTCCACCTAAAACAAAACTTTATTCCAGAGTTTAAAAGCAAGCCCTTTCAGGGTTACCAGTCCCTCTTCTTTTGAGGTGTTCCCAGTTGGAATTAATTCTGTATCCCGTAGTGTCCCCGACCATCTCTGCAGCAGGGCTGTGTGTTCCTTAACCCCTTGTGCTCAGGTACACAGAGGCAGACGTTATCCCTTGCACTGGAGAAGAGCCAGGTGAAGCCAAAGAAAGGGAGGCGCTCCGAGGTGCTGTTTTAAAGTAAGTATCATGCCTTTCCAAATCACTTTAATTACTGTTGGGGAATCTCAGTTTGTGGAAAATCTTCATTCGCTTGAATGCAGAGATCACAACGAGAGACTTACAAAGAGGCACAGTCTGACAGGTGGGTCTCCATTTCTACCTGTGCAGCCTCAGGAAAGCTTCCCTGCACACTCTCCCTCCCTGAGCCACCCCACTGCCCAGGCAGTGCAGTCTTTACTCTGAACTGTGCTGTACTAAGGCATCATCTTGCTTCACTATTAAATGGGGTCTCTTAGTAGTATAGCATGAGCCCATCCAAATCTTGTTCAGCACAGTAGGAGTCTGGCACCCAGGCTGTGATTTCGTTGCATCCCATTATGTGTTGTGGCATGTGCAAATTAATCCTTCTGTATTCAGCTCTGGATTGCTGCAGGATGTGTGCAGCAATACATATGTGGAGAATGTAGGCAGCCAGCATTCAGGGCACTTGGGGAAGCATTCTAGGCAAATAAAATAAGTCTTACCAGGGAGCTAGGATTGCTTTCCAAGCCCTCTGCCCTGCATAAAACATGACTTAAATTACCCCTCTATCTCTTTCACTGAGTGATCCTGTGAGGTCAAGGTTGAAGGGATTGATAGAGCAGTGAAATGAAGTTTTCTTACTGCTTAGCCTATTGCAAACACTAGTTCAAAATTAGGTTTCACTCCATAGAAAAGTGGCATCTGCCATACTGGATCCAAACCATTGGTCCATTCAATACTTTGCTAACCATGCTAGTCCAAAGGCAGGGCTTCAAAGATGCTGAACATCCTTCACAACCAGGACTGTGGTATTGTAGCAAGAAGATACTGGGTTATCAGTGGCTGTGGACACTTTATGCTTGGTGAGACAGCCGAGGACCTGAGGCCAGGAGACCCAGGTCCTTCATGTGTCTTGCACCTAACACATTGTTTTGCTGTTTGGGCAAGGTCCTTGCATGTTTCCTGGGCTTGTTTGCCCATCTCTGAAACAGGAGAGGTGATGTTGTTTGTAAAAGCACGTTGAAATTCTGGTGAGTTTCTGTAGAAATGCAGTGGTGTAGCTGAAGCCATGAAGCCTGAAGCCTGTGTTACCTTTGAGTGCAACTGTCTTGGCACAGAGAGCTGAAGCATCATACACTCACAGCCTGCTCAAAGATTCCTTTCTCTTACTGTCTCTCTTACTGGCTTGCAAGTGAATGGACAGGTTTAGGAGCTGTCTGTACTTCAGTGCTGCTGTTTTTCAAATGGGAAGATGGAAAAGATGGGGCTTATGAAGGTGTAAAGTTATTCCTAAAGGGAGAAGCTATTGCAGCGCAGTAGGTTTCTGTTCACAAGTGAAGTTCATCTTTGAAACAGTGCATTCAAAAATGAGCCTTAGGTCACAGGTGCTGTTTGAATCCCAAGCCTTCAGTCAGCATCACAACCCCTGTGGGATTCTGCAGAGGTCACAGCTAGAAGTGCAGGTAGGGAGAACAGTGGTAGAAATGTGGAGTAGCACAAAAACACCTCCTGCAGCTGGCCATCCACTCACGTTTTGAAGCCTAGACTGATGGATAGAATTATTGAGAGAGAAGTGGTGGGTGGAAGGGGTATCTTTTTCTGAGCAGCAAAATTTTCCATATTCAACCTTTAGCATTCTGCCCTTTTCTCTTTTAGTGGTGGCACACCCAGTACTCGAATAACACCGGAGTTTTCTAAATGGGCCAGCGACGGTGAGTGTTGAACTTGTAAATTATTAATTTGTAAGCTACAGGAAGGCAGATAGATATTCCATATCTTCTGCTTGCCAGTACTTGGGCAGGGTAGTTACTAATGCTCTTGCAGAATGTCATCAGATATATATGCACATACAGTCACACCATCTTTTTGAAACTTTACAGCACAATTAATTGTAGTCAGTGGCAGCTGGGGAAGTTCCCAAAAATGCCACCTTAACTGGTATGGTGATAAGAGATAGGGATTGGATTGACTTGCTGTTGTGTCACTAAAAGGCAAACTGCTGTATTACAGAGGGAGCCTGCAGAGTCTGTGTGATGGTGGTGCTCAGCTGCTGGGGGTTTAAACTACACAGGCACACCTATTGCTTGGGTTTTTTTCATCTGCTTTCTTATCTTCCCTTCTTCGAAAGGGTATGCTAGAGACTTGTATCATGGTCTTTTGGGTAGATCTTGTCTTTGCTGGCCTCTGTATGGCAAGAAAAGTCTACGTCTCTGAAGCTTTCAGAGTGTAGGAACTGTCCTACCTCATGACCTATAGTTGAGACTCCAGAGCAAATGAGTTAATGTGAATATGTACCTTTGCATGCATTACTTGAAAGCTCATACCATTAAGGAAGGGGGAAGCGTTAAAACCATTTGACTGCTGGGTTTTTTTATTTAATGCCAGCAGCAGTAAAAGTGTAAACAGCAACCTAGTGGAAATATGAGAATAATAAAACCTGGCGCTTTCCAGCTGCAGATGCCAAATCCATTTCCAGAGCTGGGCAGTGCTGCTCCATCTCCCTTAGGAAGGGAACTGAAGCTCAGCGACCTGAAGAGACTTGTCCCAATGATTTTGTTCCCTGTTCTGTTACTGTCATGCTTTGGGCATTTGATTCCCAGCCTTGAAAGTACCTACAAGACATAACTGCTTGCCAGTGGGAGGGGGTTGAGTAGAACCGGTTTTGCCAAGGGCATGATGGTTAAATGGAGAACATAGGATATCTATCGCAGGCATTTTCTTCTGTGGGATAGGCAATCACATTTATTTTCTGTGATGTAGGAGCACTAGCTTGTAGGTATGATCAGCTGCAGCAGCTACAGCCACAGAGGTGATGAGGGAAGCAGCCCTGATGACACTTGCTATGAGCTGTTTTCTTCATACCTTTTATTACCTGAAACTACGGTGCTGAACCTACAGCCCTGGGGCTGGCCCCAGGACAGTTCATCTGTCTCATCTCCAGCTGGTGTCTCACACCCTCTCCAGTGCTGGGAGCAGCCATGATGAGCAGTTCTGTCATATTAGTTACCTGACATGCATTTTTCTGCTTGTATCTGAGGGCTCTCAGCAAAAGGGAGAAGCTGAGAGCAGGGTCTGGGCTGTGTGGATTTGCTCTGGACCCATCTTTGTAGAAGTACACTTCTGTGTGGCAGCTGCATCAATCCTTCTGAATGAAATCCTGGCTTAAACAACTGGTACATCTGTGAATGTCAGTCAGGATGAAATGGGAAGAGGGTAGAGGTTTTATCTTCAGCCTTGAATCATAGAAGCATTCTGTCCAGAGAGAGCCTCCCCCTGCCAGACAGGGACATGTAACATCGGTGCCTTCTCTCTCGTGCTGAGAATTGGCATGAAAATGACTCATTGGGGTCCTCTGAAACTGTGACTCGCTCAGACTATTTCATTGCAATAATCAGATGTTCCTTACTAATTTTTCTGTTCTTCCCTCAGCAGAAATGCCCTCAACGAGTAATGGTGAAAGCAGTAAACAGGAGACCATGCAGAAGACCTGTAAGAACAGTGACATTGAAAAGTGAGTGTGAAGTGGATAGCTTCCATTTTTCTTGTTTTAAGGAACTATAGTGTCCCACTTGATGCTCCCAGAAGCAGTGGTAATCTGAGGGTGGGCATATTTGAAGCTTTTAGCACTGAGAAGGGAAGTTGTGCTCCAACATGAAGCCTGGACTTGGAGCACTTGCTGCTGCTATGGTCACAGGACCTGTGGGGAGTTCTCCAGCACATATCTGTGTGTGCAGGTACCCAGTGATGAGGAATTGGGCACAGCTTCCAGAGGGCTTCTCCACTGCAAATTGCCTCCTTCTAGAATATGTAAATATGCTTTCCACCATATTGTAGTTAACGTGGAGTTTTAAATGTTGTGTGTTGCATAACAACCTAGACCAGAGCTGGAACTTTGGACAAGAGGTAAAGATTCAAAACCCACTTTAACCTGACAAAAGCAATTGGCTTGTCAAGCTGTACTTCGGCCTTCTGGATTCCCCCTGAAAATGTATTGTGGGATCCTACTTTTACTGGAGAAGTTTTCTTGTCATTGCACCTTGGTTTTTGAGGGCAGTCTTTCACGTGGTCTTTATTCTGTTTTCTCCATGGTACCTGCATGTTCCACCTTCCATCTCTCCAGCAAAAGGGAGAGATACTGCTCCTCAACAGCACTGTAACTTGGTAGAAGCCTCAGTGAGAGAATTTCTTTTTCCATAAGATCAATATTGTGCTTTTGTATGGCTTCTAACAGAAATAATGTCTCAGTTCCTGAGTTTTTCACCTACAGTCCTTCCAGTGATTTAGAAGTTTAAGTCCCTGTGTTTGAATGTACAGTAGTGCAGGGGACTCCTGGGCATCTTTCCACTCCTGTCCCTTTCCACTCACTGAATGTGCTGCAGTCTAGTCTGGGATAAAAATAAATGGTTTTATCTGCACTATTCATTTGAGTAACAACCTCTCACGTGCTGCTAGGGTGACTTACTGCTCAGACAGATTTGATGGTCCAAACCTAAAACTGCAGGCTCTTCTCTGCTGCCATGGACTGCATTAGCTGGGATGGGGCAGTGTTTTAAGCTGATTATTGCTTGATATAAAACATTGCCCCAAGATCAAGTGAGAGACCAAACAGCTTGAATGAGGTGGAAGCAATGAGGTAAATGGTGGGTTTTAAACATTACATTTTGGGTTGAAGTCCATGGATAATTTAGGATGGGGAAAAATCTGGTGGTACCATTAAGCTGACTTCACAGAAAGTTGTAATTTTTTTAATGCAATTTGTTCTCCTTCTGCCCCTGGTCCTGACTTGAGAGATTGTGTCCCCACTACGTTTCTGGATCTCTGACAGTTCAGGCAGCCTGGAAGAACATATGTTCACAGTCAGGGGTTAACTGGGGAAACTCCCTGCTGCAGAGGAAACTTGAACATTGCTTTGCTGCCTTGGCACTTGCCTTTTTACAAGCCTTTTTGTTGCCATGTCCCAAATGTTGGCTGTCTGCTGCTCGATGCCTCTCAGTGAGCAGACTTTGGCCAAGGACCACTGAATTTGGGAGCTTGCAGGTCAGTGCAGAAGCAGATTTGTCCTTGGAGTGAGAGCCAACCAGTGCATGCTGTCTTGGTGGCAAGGGCTCATGCCTTCTGCCCTAATCTGTCAGCCTCTGTCTCAGCTGCTGCTTGGCTTCCCTTTGGGCCTCCTGCCTGTCAGCCCAGCAGCCCTCCACCCTCCCAGATCCACTCCTATTGAAAATCTTTAAACTGCAGGAGCTGAAAGGATTTGACATTTTCCAGAACACTTGAGCTCAAGTGATAAAACTGACATAGCTTTAATAATCTGATCAAAGAGGCTTTAGCTAGCATCTTTTGAAGGGTCCCAGAATCCTTTCCAAACAACTCTCATGCTAACACTGCTGTGAAGTGGGGAGAGCGTGGATGTGTGTGTGCATGTATAAGAACACACACCTTGCTCTGCAATAACCTTGCCCCACTAAAGCTTCAGTTCTGCTAAAAGTCAGCAAAACCCAATAGAAATTGCAGGAAACCCCTTAAATGTCTTGTTCAGTCTTTCCAAAAACATTAATTTTTGAAAGTTGCAGGGGCACCTTTTTATTTAAGATGCTTTATTTTACTGAGGTTCAGAAAACAAGATGGTGTTTCAGGTGGAGAATTCCTAGCTGCTTTTTTTTTTACTCTTCTTTCCTTTGAGATTCATGTGTGATAAATAGTTTCTGTCCTGCCATTTAAGGAGTCTCAATGCTCTGTGTGCTTGTCTGTGTAGAGGGGTTCTGTTAAATTAATTGATAACAGGGATCAGAGCTAGAAGCCTACGGAAAGGAGGGGGAAGGGTTTCTCACTGTCTGGCTGTTTCCCACTCCACTGCTGAGCCATGATATATGGCGACCCAGCCCAACAGGCTAAATTGATTCATCTCTAGTTCCTGTTTCTTAATCTGGGGCTAAATTGGTTTCATTTTTCTTGTTTTGGGTGGTGCTTACAGGAAGTTTTTGGCAGCATCACTTTACTCCATTGTTTGTAACTTCAGTTTTTGCCTTTAAATCTGAGTATTATTGATTGGCATGTTAAACTCTGTGTAGCACCTCATTAGCATTTTAAAAATTGTCCAGAAGCACATGGCTTAGCACCTGTGTCAGCCGTGCTCTCCGTTCAGAACAGTGGCTAATAGAGTTAGCAGCGATCTGCGTATTGATCCTTCTCTCGTAAGAATGACGTTCCTTCCTCCCCTCTTCCAAAAATAAGTCCAAGCAAAGAGAGCAGCGTGGTTTTGCTTGTTTTTTAATCCATTAATACAGTGCAGCGAGCAGTCCTCCTTTTGGCTGAAATTGTTTGCCTGCCGAAGTTCATTTAATCTAAACTTGGGTTTTTGTGGGAGAGTCTCTTGCTCCAGAACAACTAGATGGGGTTTGGGGTAAGTCTGTGTTTGTTGCTCCACTCCTTGTGCTGTGCCAGGTCGTCAGCAGCTTGGACAAGTTGATCTCATCTGATAGTGTTGAACTTCAGATGGCAGCCACAGTGGTGAGAGACAAGGTGCTGCTCCCAGCTCTCCTTCCCAACACTGCAGGGTGTCTCAGCCCTGCTGAGCTTTTCTAATCTCGACCATGTGGGGTGTCTGGGAGACACCCTGAGGTGCTGAAGGCTCATGGGGACAGGTGAAGGAGCATCACACTGTCTGAGCTCTGCCTGTCTGCTGAAGAATCCAACCACTGCCAAGGCAAAGCTCAGCTGGTGCGGAGCTACTTTACCTCAACTTGAGATGCAGCATTGCTCGGGGAGAGCAGCTGGCCCCTAATTGCCCAGGCACCCCCCCATCTGTTCCGCCAACGTCGTATTCTCAGCACTGTTGCGCACAGAGACCTGCAAAAAACACCTTCCCCACAAAAAGTCCTCCTCCCTGCTCCCTCCCAAGATAGCTCCTGCGAGGGTCTGGTGCCGTTTTGAAACTGAGGTTCCCCGGGGTTAAAAGCCAGCATCTTAATTCAGAGTGCCAATGTTCAATTTTGCTTTCTGCCACCAGACTAGATTGCAGGCCAGCGAGAGAGTCTGGGTTAGTGGCCCACTGGGTCACCTCCCATTTGTTTTCCTCAATTTTGTGTTGTCATAAATTCATTCCAGCCCGTTGTGGTTGATCAGTTTATCTCCGCCGGGGCAGGGAGCGCTGCGAGCATGATATATGGCACAGAGCATTGTAGCCAGCCTCTCCATGAATCACTCCAGCTGTTTGGTGTCAGCCCCAAAGCAAACAGGACCCGGCCGCTGAGCGTTGACTACGATGAGCTCAGTATGGGAAGAGACATGACGTATGAATGTTTATTTAATAATTCTCTAATATTTCCAGCGGAGTGTGGCTGTGCCTTCTGGGAGGGGTGAAAGGGGGGGAGGTTGAAGAGGGAAACTCTAATCTGTTGGGGTGGGTCATAAATCAGGCAGACAACATCATTAATCAGGGATGGGACAGAAGTGGAAGGAGGTGGGACTGGAACTGCCATCCTCAGTGGGAAGGGGGCTGTGCTTTTTTTTTTTTTTTTTTTTTTAAAACAAATCTTGTTTCTGATTCCGCTTGGCCCCAGCCGTGCTGCCTGCATAATAGCAAACCCGGACACAAGGCTGTTTAAGTGAGTATGCTACCTCTGCTCTGAACCTTGCAATACGAGCCTGCCAAGCATTAAATCCCTTTATAATTATCTTCTTTATATAACACTTCATGCTTATCATGCTTCATTGCGTGAGACGCTCGTTGGGTTAAAAAGAGGGTTTTAGAGACAAAAAGCAATTGTGTTTGTTTTATTTTTCCTGTCTCCTCTTTCCTCCCTTTTCCCCCCCACCACACCTCTTTCCAGTCCAGCTGCTCTGAAACATTGGCTCTGGAGGGGCTCTGGTGCAGCAGCACAGGAAGGAGCACCAGTTAAAATTGAACAAGTTTAGGTTGGGGTCCTTGTGCGAAGAGTCAAGCACATGAGAGCAGTCAGGGAGGCAGCAGTGTCTGTCGTGGGGACCCTGCTCTCAGGCAGGTGGGTCAGGGTGGGAGCAGGGTGTGTGTGAAGCCAGAGGATTAGCAGAGGCCTGAAAGGGAAGGAGCCACGCTTAAGCTGATATGTCAGAGGGAAACAGAAGCTGCTGTGAATTCACACCACAGGATAAGCGCTTCCCAGCCCCTCTCCATAGTGTCACACTATTAATAGGCTTTGCCTGGAGACAAGAACATCTCATAGCAAAGACAGAATTAAAAAATTAACTTGGGTCATAAATGAACTTAACCCTTTGTGTTCTGCAAGAGCATGATGCTGCTGATGGGTCCAGTCCTAGAGCAGCCCGTGTGAACTCGAGAGAGGATCCAGGAAGCTGAACTGAAGTGTGGGATTGTCAAAGCCAAGCTGAGAAAGAGCTGATAGGCTGTGCTGCTTGTGTCTAGATTTTTATCTTTCTTAGGTTTTAATCTTTTTCACTAATTCAGTAATATGTAACATTGTGTTTGTGCTGTATACTGGTGTTCAGTGTTGAAAGGGTGCAGAGGGAGATGCTCCATTTCGTCCGTCTGGGTTGTGACGGTGGAGAGCTGGGCTGTGTTTCTTTATTCTGCTCCCTCTTATAATCGTTGGGTAGAAGTTTCATGTGCCAATGGTGGTCTCAAACATTTATAACCACTCTGCAAAGTGTAATTGTATCGATGTCTTCACAGGGCGGTGATTAACGAAGCTCAGCGAGGCAAGGCTGACTGTACAAACTCAGACCTGGGGGAAGGTGGTGTTTCTGTTTAGTGCAGCTGTTGTCCAGAGGTTTGGTCTAATTTCATGCCTTGGGGCAGTTTTCTATAGATTTTGTCATCTTCATATAGGAAGGAACTCTTATGTCTGTTGATCTTGTGATGTTTTAGAGCTAAACTGTCTGCAAACCCCAGGGATCTGCTGGTTTCAGGGGCAGTAGCATCCCTGTCCCATAATTGGTGAAAACCCCGGGAAGGAATTTTATTCCTGTGCTGGGGGTGCAGTTTAAGCATCTTGCCATTTATGTCTTTTTGCCTGCCCCTTCTTTTCCTTTTTTTTCTTTTTTTTTTTTTTCCTTAGTTTCAGAAATGCTGTTAACTTTAATTTGTAGAGTTGCTTCCTGGGAATGAAAAATCGATGGGGGGCTATCGCAGTGTGAAATTCGACTGTCACTATTGAGCTATAGAGTTACCAAGATGTCTTAGAAGGTAAAAAATAAATCGTGGCCCAGCAAGTGCTCAGCTGTGCTATTTCAAAGGGGATATGAGGCTGATGGTCTGTTAGAGGGTACTTCAGTTAGATGGATGATGATTCCCTGTGAAATATTGGAGTTATTCCATAGGTAAAAGAAACTTTAGCTTATAAAACACAAACAGCTACCTACTAGCAGACGAATTCTGCCCTTAGATGTGTGAGCAGCTTGTCAGATAGAGGACTCGTCCCTAAAATTAGCCTGTCGTGTTTAACAATGTCTCTGATGGAGCATTGTGGATCTTACCGTGTTCCTTCTGAAAATATTTTGAGGATGTGACTGTTTATTCACATCCCTTAGCTACACTGCAAGAATTAAGAGGCAGGGACTGATATTTTTTTAGGAAACGTTTGTATGGTGCCCAGATGCTCTCAAGAGAAAAGTAACAATCATTTTTACGTAGGCTGCGTTCCGTGTTAGGATGGAAATGTTCCTTTGAAAAGCAGAAGCGGGATCATGTTGTGCCCCGTCCGCTGCCAGTTTGCTGTTGCTCTCCTGCATCTGCTGAGGGGCAGCCCTGGCTGCACAGGCTGGCTGTGTGTGCTGGTGGTGACAGGGCTACTGCTTTCCTTGGCACTCACTGACTGTTGTGGCAGGACCCAGTAAGTGTTTGTGCTGTGCCAGCTGCTGTATGACAACAGGATGATTGTAATTACAGCTCTTGGTAGTTTATGCATTTCTTAGGCTACAATTAGTAAGTATAAATATAAAATAGTACTAAAAAAAACCCACCAGTTTGTGTTACACCTCACTAAACTGTGTCTGGGACAACTGTAGTCAGTAATTATTTCTCTTACACTTGCATGCACGGTTGCAGTACCGCTGAGGGGAGCTTACCGCTGCAAGAAGGAGTGTTAAGCCACATTTAGTTAAAGCTTGGTAAAGATCTCCCAAAGAATTGACTGCAAGAAGAATTCATTGTGCTTTCATATCTCCTTTGCTGCCGTAACACAGAACCCAGGACTGCCTTTACAGAACAGTGTAATAGCTAGTAATGTAATTAAAGTAGTTTAATATCTGTGGTGATTTTTTTGCCCTCACTTCAGTGTCGCTGCTTATCCTAACCTTACTCCACACCACTATGGGCACTTCATCCTATTTTTCCAGTCTCTTCTTTCTTCTTTTTTTGACAGTTTTTGTCTGTAAAAAGCTGTTGTTTCCCTCTCGGTTGCATAAGCATTCCGGCTTTTCCCTCAGATAGCCCGGCTCATGACCTGTCCTTCCACTGCACTGCTTGGTTTCCTCTTCCAGCTCTGGGACCACAGTTGGTTATGTGATACTAATGTGCCGTGGCCTCCTTTAATAACCTCATGTTTCTTTTTGAAGGCGCGATTACCTTAAATGATGCTAATTCTGATCCTTTCTTTCCCCCGTAAAGGAAACGGCAACAGTGTAAAAGTTCTAGGGCGGCAGCAGCAGTTGTAGGAAGCTGTCTGGAGGATGTGTTACCGCACTGCCCTTGTGTACCTCCAATCAGCGGTCATGAATGGAGGTTCTGGAAAGCATATCACCTCCATGGTCAAGCCCTTAAAAGGCTACAGATGAGTCCAAGTGCTGCTGTAGTAGCATAGATATTTCCTGTTTATTTCGGTCGTTTGGATGTGGGCCATGGGAGTAGAAGGCATTTATTTAATCGCTCGCAGAGGCTGCCTGCGAGGCTCGTCTGCATGTCCAGCCTTCTGAGCACCTTTCAGCCCTAGGAATCTGCTATTCCTTTTTCACCTTCATGGATATTTTATGATTCCGTGCCCTGATCGTCCAACCAAAGCTACCAATAATACTAGACCAGCTCCAGGCCACAGTAGGATGACAAGTTACAGCTGCCATAAGTCTTCCAGTAGAAAAATAGACCTGCCTAGCTATACGTGGAGTTTGGTCATAATCCAAATATGTTTACTTGTGGATGGAGGCAAGTTTCAGTAGGCTGGAACCTCTAACCCGTGTGCCTCAGAGGAGCTGCATTTTCTATTTCCACCGTCTGCCTTTTGTGGACCTGGCTTGTACTAAGATAAAGACCATGATGCACCTTCACAAATCTGTTAAAAATACAATTAGGCTCACCAGCATGAAGAATACATTTGAGAAGTGAACCGAGACATTAACACATTAGCTGAGTAATTATTTCTACTTAGGAACTTTTTTTACAGAATGATTTTCTAACTCAGCCTGTGCTGCCTCAACAGAACCTGGTTTGCTGCAGCAAACCACTTTTCTGTAGCATGGCTTTTTCCTTTATCGCCAAATCTGCTCCAGTAAAGCAATGGGATTGCATTTATTTTCTCTTTGGAACAGGGGACATAGTCTCTAAATCTAAATCAGAATGACCCACGCATTCTTTCTCCCAGCTTTCATGTTGAACCATAATTGTTCAAATGGCACATTTAAAATTTTGGCGCAAGCTCAGACTTTCACTCGCCGCCTTTTTAAATCAGTCCCAGTGGCCAGCGGATACTGCGTAGCCCTACAAATGCATCCAAACATGCTGACTCCGAGGCTCCTTCCATTCTGAATGATCAGCGGTGCCATCTGTCTCTGTTTTGATTGGGGCTGGGCACATGTGTCCCAGCGAAACGCGGGCCAAAAAAAGGGAAGAGAAAGAGCCAGTGCCTGAATTTACTTCCCGCTTCTGTAAAGACATTGTTTGGTTCTGTGTTATGGAGGCGGGGGAGATGTGAAAGCAAAATGAATTTTTCTGTCATTAAATTCTTCAAGGAATCTTTACCCAAGTCCCTACTAAACGTGGCTTAAAATGCCTTCTTGCAGCGATAAGCTCTCCTCAGTGCTATTGTGACAGTGCATGCAAGTGTAAGAGAAATAATTCCTCTGTGGGGAAAAAGAGACAACATTTTTTTGGTTTGCATCAAGATGAAATTAGTCAGAAGCAAACTCTGAATTTGGCAGGCAGATGCCAGTATTAACAAGTTGTGCAAGCAAGTATAAAATAGAGGCGCTCGTGACTGAGAGCGCCTCAGTGTTGTGTGTGTGTGCCCTTGCATGCACCCCGCTCCAAATTCACAACTTAGAACACGGAAATTGGAATGGGGAACATTGCATTATTCATAACTTGGCAACCAGAAGCCAGGGCAGTTTGCCAGAGTAAACTATTCTCTATAATTACAGGTGAAGCAACATTCTTTAATATCTTACAATACAAAAACATACATTAATCAAGGAAAGAGAGCTTTTTTTCCTAGAGGACAATAAATTAGCATCCTTGCCAATTTCCTCAATACATGTGACAATGTTTTACAGGATTATAAGTCAGCCTCTTTAAAGAAGGTTAGTCTAAAAACAAATAAACCCAATAAATGAGATTTTTAGCTAAATAAAAGGGAAGCCAGCTCCTAAAGCATTGATGTCTTGCCAGAAGATTTGCTTT